ATGTCCCTTTAATTGCCACCTCTTCCATGACTATCTATTATGTTCACTGCAACACCCTGCAGACATTTGCATTTGGGATCCTGTTTTAATCTCTGATGGGAAAGAATGAGGACTACTGGGAGTGTGTTAGCAATAGTGAGAGATCACCTCTGTGTGTCCAAAGCCCCAGGAGTATCTGCAATGAAGAAAGATGTGGACACAAAAAGGAATCAAGCAAAGGTGGTTGGAAGAATGGAAAGACAAGGAGATGGATTTTGTTGAATGCCATTGGCCCTGGAGTCAGTACTGACCCAGATGCCACACCTCCCAGGAAAAGGTTGGCATGGCAGCTGCCTTCTTTTCCTGTCCCTTTGTTCTCCTGGGCCAGAAGAAGTGGTTAGTGAGTCTCTTTCACTAAGCTACTTTTCCTTAAGCCCAGGAGACCTGCAAGCCACTACCCTGACCTTAGAGACTCAGAAGTCAAGGAAAGGGCTGCCAACCTGAAGCATGGAATCAAAGCCATGTCCCCTGGCTGGAGCAGAAAGAGCCCTAAAGGGGGTGGGGCAGCATTACTGCAATGTTGCCCCCACAGTGCTTCTGACACGGAAGATTCTTCCAGACAACCTCCAAGTAGAGGGAGGACAGACACCGCCAGTCATGCCTGGACAGCCTATGGTAGCCCACACCTGTCCAAACACCCACTGTGGGTCCCCCTGCACACTTCTCAGTCACATGTGTACCACCTGTCCGCCTCTCACCCACTGCTGAGGCCTCTGAGCCCCTGGTAACACACACACACACACACACACACACACACACACACACACACCATCTCTCTCTGCCTGGAGTCCCTTCCATCAGCTCTGCACATCAGTACTTCCTAATTGTTCAAGATGACCATTAAGCACCATCTTCCCAAGAGAACGTCCCTCACACCCAACTCACACAGATCCTCCCCTACACACCTTCCCATACACACACTGTATTCTCCACACTACAGCACAGCCACCTCACTCTGCACAAGACAGCACACGAAATAGTACATGTGCCATACCATAGAAGGACACAGTGAATGAATGAGAGAATATAAACAGCTGATATTTACTGAGCAATTGGAAAATGCAGGACACTGTGCTAAGTGCTTTACAGATGTATCATTTCCCATTCACCACAGTCTCACAGGGAAGGCATTGTGACTAGCACCTCTGCTTTCTGGAAGAGGAAACAGGCCAGGAGGCACAGAGCTACTGCCAAGCTCCTGAGCAACTGGCCTTTGCACTGATGAATCAGCCTCCATGGATCCTCAGGGTTCTGCCTCTTGTCACTCTGAGATTCATGCAGGGACAATGCTCCAGCACTGTGTGCCACCCTCTGCTCCATGAAGGTGTCATATGCTAACCATGTGTTTGGGACAAACCAGTTCATGAAAAGGAACCATGTAGGTTAGAGGATGCACAGGGGCTCAAAGACAAGATAGAGCAAGACAAAAAGCCAGGCACTGGCCAGAAAGACCGTGGTTCTTCTCAAATGAGCAATCTGGAAGCGTGGGGAAGCCTCAGCTAAGACAAACTAACCCACAATTCTCCATCTCTGAAGATACAGAACTCCTGGGAATTAGTGTTAACATCCTCCGCTGACAGGCTCCTCCTACTCCAGTTCAACAGGAACTCAGGAAAATGAATCTAACCCTGGGGAAAACAGAGAGAAAACCGACATGCCAAATGGAAGCCACCTCCCCACCAACGCCAGTGCGCCTGACATTCCACTTCAATGCAAACAGAACCTCACCTCTGGCTTCTTGAAGCCTCCCAGCTTCTTGTCCCGTGCTCTGCTTGCTGTCACCCACAGGGAAGTGGTAACCAGCGTGAGCTGGCCCTCCCAGTTCCCAACTCAGTGCCCTTCCCAAGTGCCAGGGTTCTGGAATGTCCCAGAAATCTCCTCTTTCCTCAAGAAAGGAAGCAGGAAGGGGACTATAGAAGGGACGCTGGGCTGTTGCTAGGATGGCAAGCTTAAAACCACAAGGTCTGTGGCTGAGAGTGGAAGAAACCGTAAACAGTTTTCCAGAAGATGCCCTGGCTCAGAGCAAGGTGGCCAGAGGCTTGAGTCCTTGGCTCCTGAACAAGGTCAAATGAAAAAGCTACAGAGGTGAGCACACGGTGCATAACTCATGCACGTGTGCACGCACACACACAGAAGTGTGTTTGTAGGGAGGACATTTGAAAGAGAATCCCTAGGAAGGTGATTCTATTGCCAAGACAAGGAACAATAGTGGTGGAATGAGCCAGCAACCCCTGTTGCTGAGAGACCCATGGGGTATCTGCAAGGAAGTGGAAGAGGTGACAGGCATGGGCCCAAAGATCTGGGCCCATGATGAGCAAGAGAAGTCAGGACTCATGGTTCTCTATCCCTAGCAAGTGTCTCCTGGGTCCAGTCATCACAGGGCTCTGTCATGCCAGGACTGGAAAGAGGTGCCTTCCTTCATCAGGGAAACCCCCAAAACAAAGCTGAACCAAGGCACACAGAGGAGGTTCCGCTTGCAGAGCCCACTGACAAGCCACTCTCACACTTCCAGTCATGGGATCTTCTGTGTCACAAATTCTGACCCAAAGACAGTACTCCAGCAAGGGCTCTGGGAAACTGGGCAGGGACTGTGGGGTTCCAGTATCTTCCATAGTGCATCAGCTGTCCTGACAGGAATAGAAATCTTTTGTTTCATCCATTCATCCAAACACCTACTATATATGGCAACCATGTTTCTCACCCTAGGAATATGTTATGACCCGGTTAGTCCACTCTAATAGAAAGGTTGAGTAACTTGCCCAAAGTCACACAGCCAAAACACGGCAGAGCTCATATTCAAAACCAGATTTTTATCAGTTCTGAAACTGCTACCTGTAGGAACTGAGGGCCTGGTGCTTAAAGGATGGCAGATGCAGTTCTTAGAAGTGAGGCAGGCATATACCAGCAACTACAGAAACAACTCTACATCTACCCCCAAAGAAACACACAGGGAAGTTCTCAGCATTCCTCTCTCTTCCATGATTTCTTTCTGAACCTCTGTCCACCAGCCAGGAGATCTCAGCTGCAATCCTGGGGAAATGCTTTCAGCAGCTCTCAAACCTTCTTAATTGACTAACAAGGTAATAACTGCCTTGATCCATTTACATGTTGTTTCTAAAGGAATTTTCCCATCGGAATGCAAAGCAGGTGCCTCCGGCTTGGAAAATGAAGAAAAGAAAGAAAAGAGAAAAGAGAAAAGAAAAGAGAGAAGAGAAAAAAAAAAGAAAATAAAGAGAAAAGAAAAGAAAAAAAAACTGTCATTCCTTAATCTTCAAGCAGATTTAGCCCCTAAATAAATTTCATCCTGTTTAAATTGATCTGAATGGACGTTCCAAGCATACACTTTCAGTGGGTACTGTAGCCTAACATGCCCTCTCTACTGCCACAGGAATCCATACAGTTTGGATTGATACATTTATTATCATCATCATGGATTTGGGAAGCTGTGCCCATCACTGACAATGTCTGATTTTACTGTTAACTCACTAGATTGGTTCTTGCCACTTTGTCCAGCATTTCCTGCTCCAGCTGGGAAAAACTGACATATCTAAAGAAGCCCTGGCCTTGGGACCTCTAGCTCTCTTGAGCTATGTTCTTTTTAAGCCATACCCTCTCAGCCCCACAGCAGAATCTCCAAAACCAAGCTGCACAATTTTGTCCCTCTCAGCCCTCCCCCCACCCTCTGCTCCAAGCAAAAACTGCCAGCATGAGCAGATATTTGATCTGCCTCAGAAGCTGTGATATTATGCTACCCAGATGTTCACGCTGCCTGGGCTGAAGGTTCATGTTCCACACAGTCAGGACCTCCCCAGCCTACGGACCCTATGCCATTCCATACTCTGACCCCCCTCACCAACAACTAGAATCTCGGCTTATACAGCCAGCCAAGAAGGAGGATAAGAGACATGCCCGGAGCAACGACTCATGAAAATGACCCTTGTAGCCTCTTCCCATAGCTTAGAATGTATGTGCTCTGGAAGTCCTCTGGGGCCTTTTGGACTGGACAGTGCCTCTCCCAAATGTCTGTCACTATCTCCTTGCCTCATAATGCCTACCTCTATTATCAGAAGTTTAAACAGAGTTTGGAAGGGTCCTGGAAACATTTCACATGCAAAAAAATGCACAGCAATCTATGTGGCTGGAGTATCCAGGCCACTTGAGTGTACTTTACCTCTCCCCAGATGACTGGCAATTGAACTTAACCAAGAAGGGAAGCCAGATATTACAAATCCAGCATTAAAGAAAATTGTTTTCTGCTACCAGAATGAGATCAGTCCCAAGTAATAGCCCACTGAGGAGGGAAGGTGATAAGGTCCCAGCATGCCCAAAGAAATACAACCAAGTCCTTATACCTTGATGCCCAGGGGAAACTGTGCTTGGTAAATGTGCCGCTGCAGAAAATTAGACACTGTAGGAAATCAGACCTCGAAGTCCAATTTACACTGTGTCAGATTTTAGATTTAACCCACTCACCAGGGCTCTGTAGCTGGGCCATGAGAACCACTAGCTCCTGGAAGTGGTAGTCATCAATTCTAGGCCAGAAGATGGCACTGAGAATGGCTGGTCCCTGCCAAACACCCTCATCCCTCAAAGGGTGGGTAGCAGCAAACTAGCTTCCTATTCCCAGGGCAGATGTGGCCTGTGCCATGGCACCCAGTCCTAGTCCTTCCTGTAGAGACTGAGCAACTGAGGTCTGGAGAGGGGAGGGTTATAGGTCAGTCAGTGGGGTGCTTGCAGGGGGCCCACCTCAACCGGCTTCTCCCATCACCATGAAGCTACACTCTATCCTAAGGGATCAGGCCTGCAAGGTACCCCAACATAGTCACCCAACACTCTCCCTTGGCTAATGAAGACAGTAGCGGTCTCAGAATTCCCCAAGACATGAAGAATGGAGGCAACCTTTCACATGACTCCCAACCCTGAGAAATGCCAAGTAACCTCATCTTCTAAGAACAGTGGTTTCCAAAATGTATTTTTAGCAGCAGAAGCCATCCTCAAACAAAGCCTTATGCAAAAACTTCAAGCTGCAAACACATCAGCAGTGCTTGCCTGAGTAAGGCCTAAGCCAGGCCTCAGGCTGCCCCCACCCCAGCACCAAAACTCCCTCCACAGCGCTCTCTGTGGATTTCACTTTGAAGGCCCAGGTTTGGGGGCCCTCCAAGCTCTGCAGCTAAAACAGCAAGATAGAGTGGACTCTTACTTAAGAGCCCTGGGTGGTACAGCTGGTCTCTGAGACTTGGACAACCTCATTTTCCACTAGGACCTGGCCCCCATCCCCAGTAAGCTGCCTCATACGCAGGTTGATGGAGCCGTAGGTCTTCCTGGATCCCCTACCAGGGATGAAGGTCTGTCTGCGGTACAGCTCACCCTTGCACAGAGAGACCATGAGCAGCACAGACAGGAGCATGCCCCCGACTGTGAGCAGCCCCAGGCCTGCAATGATGCACTTGTCCAGATGTGAGCCCAACCGGGCATAGTACATCTCCAGGCGTTCCATCTCCCTCGCTGTTACTGTGTCAGGGTTGACGCGGGCCTCTCGGGGAATGGCGTATGCTGTCACAACCAGGAGGATTCCGCTCACCAAGAAAACCAGAGCAGAAACAAAGCCATAGTCCACTGGGCGGCTCACAGGTTCCAGGCCTGGCCCCTCCTCTGAATGCAAAGAAAGGTCATCCCGCTGGGACCGGGGCAGTGAGGGGACGCCTCCAGGGGGACTGGGGGAGATACCCAGTCTGGCATCCCCAGGGTTCTGGAAACGAGTTTCATGCTCCTCGGAGAAGAAGCAGGCATTCTCCACACCCATCCTGGGTGGTACCACTGGGCCCAGTGGAGCTGGTCTCCTTGAAACCTGGGGACCATTGCTCAGTGTCTTCAGTTCCAGACCAGGGGGAGATGCCATTGGAGAGAATGACCCCAGCTCATCCCTTGTCCTGTTGGCAGCTAGAAGAGAAAACAAATGTCAGTTGAATTTGCCTGCTGGAGCTCAACATTACATTTGGCATAAATGTGGCACTCCCTGTGGGCAGCTATAAACAGTAGAGCAATGTGGCCCATGCTAGCTCCTACTCCCACCCCACAGTGGCTGATGCACTTATCCTCTCGGCCTCAGTTTTCCCATTGACCACATTCTCCAGCGACAATACTAATACTACTCCCTACTGCACAGTGCTAACAGAGAGGCTGAGGTAACCCCTGAGTGAGATGCTCGGTAGAGTACCCAGTAAATTTGAAGGATGGGATGTCATCAGGATGGATGAATTTAGAGTAGCCATGAGGTCCGTATCCCAGCCTCCTTGTTTGTGCTTAGGCAAGTGATGTCCCTCCTCCTCTGAAGAAGCCCTGTTCTCATCTGTAGTGTGGGAAGCCTCTCGCACAAGGCTATGGTAAGGATTTCATTAAGTGATGCTTATCTGGCTGTAGCCCTGTCAGCTAATGGGCAGCACTGTATGAGCCTGTGTAAGGTGAGGTGATGATGTGGGGTGCGGCAGAGATAATCAAAGTGTTATAGGCACTTTGGAAGCTTGGTGGAGGGTGATGGCATCTGAAAACTGCCAAAAAGAAAGAGTGGAAAATTCGCCAGCAGCCAGAAGATGGGGCCATTCTAGAGAGGGAAGGGGCACCCAGAGACCAGCCGGGCCAGTTCACAGAGGACTGTGAAAGCCAGGCCAAGAAGCAATGGGACGTCAAGTTGTTGCAGCGGGGGAGGAGGGAACGGGCTGGGGATCTGTGTGGGTTTTAGAAATCCACACAGGGCAGAAACATGGGGGAAAGGGTCCCAGGAGGAAGCCCAGGAGATGTGACAAGGCAGAAAGAAGGGTAAAGAACGCAAAGCCTTGACCGAGGTCAAAGCCAAATGCCTTCCTGTATGCAGGCAAGGATTGGGGTGGGGAAAAGAGGAAAGCACTACCAAAAATACCAAATACTGCCATACAGACTCACTGCATATGTGCACTTGTGTCAAAAGGCCACCACCAACCTAAAGCCATGGCCAGACTGGGTTCACTAAAATTTTTGCTTACTTCATTTCCAATTCTACTCATTGAGTTTTGGTGAATTAGTTACCAAGATATAAAACAAACAAACAAAAATTTCACCTTTTAAGCTCAGAGTTCCTGTAGGCACTAAGCAAAGTCCTCAGTGAATGTGTATTGCTGATGTGGGTACAACCATATCAAGGACCCCAATGCCTTGGTCCCACGTGGGTGGCAAAGCCTTCCCTGCATGAGGCTCAGCGGGATGGCAAAGCCTTTCTAAGGTCCAGATGCAAATGTAGACAGTGTGTTCAGAAAATGTCCACTTCGGCTTTCTCCTAGCCCTGATTGCTTATGGCCTAATGACCTCCCCTACAGGTACTGCTCCTACCAAGACTAGCTAACCTGCCTCCTTGATATTATAGCTATCTATAATAAGCCGGTCTTCTTGTTTATCTGCAATAACTCCACCTCTTTTTAGCCATATATAATAACCTTGCCTGCCTATTCAACTGCATATAATAAATACACTGCCCTAGGATTGCATGCTCTCTCCACCAGAGAGCCCAGACCACCTGATCTCAGCTCTTCTGCACGTCTGTGGGATTGTCTTTTCTCCATGCCCTCGATGCTCCAGCAAAGCCAGTCTCCAGAACCATGAGCATACAGCAGGCTCCCGTTCCCAACTCTCTTGGAATCTGATGGCCATGTCCCACATCATAGCATACACCTGGCACTGGTAATTGGGCCTTTCCCTTGCGTGGCTCTGAACTCTTCTCCCTGGGCACCCCGCCCTGGCACACAGCACTTCTGACCCCACAGGAGAAACACTGTTCCCATACACACTCTGACATCCCAAGGACCCATGCACGGCCCTGGCACACAGAAGCTCGAGTAACAGAGACCCTAGGTGTGGAGTGGCCCTCCCACTCCGTGATGTGTTTACACACACGGAAGCTGATTCTCTGCGCTATCGGGTCATTCTCCAGTGCTCTATGGGTGCCTGTGTTTCTGAGCAAACATGAGCAAAATAAGTGACGTGATGGCAAATGAGATACACAAATGACTGAAACTCCAGGAGAGCAAGTGAGAAACCCCTCTGCCCTTTCCCATGTGGACTTGTTCTCTAGCAAACATAGGGCCTTTCGTCTCAGTTCAAAGGCTGCTCGTGCTTACAGCTCCTTTCTATTGCCCTCCTCTACTGTGGCCCTTTAATCCGTGCCGAGCTCTGACGGCCCTTAGACCGTTAACACCTCCTTCAGGACTGGCTCAGCTCTATCACCTTTTAGAAAACACGATCACGATCCCATGGTAGGTTTGGGGACTAGAGACCAAAAGATGAATATAGGTACCCCAAGAATCTCTATTTCCTACACACATGCAAACCCACACACTCCACCTTCCTTCCCAGACAGCAGGCATGGGGATCCTGAGGGCAGAGGTCCCTCTGAATCTCCCTGGGTCCCCACTCTCCTCTCAGTTCCCAGAGGATGAACAGAAAGGAGGCGGTGCTAGTTGGGCTTTTACTTCTGGGGCCAAAAACTACTCAGCACACACACACACACACACACACACACACACACAC